CACCCGCTCAGGCCAACCAAGCCTTCTATCCCCGCACAAATCATTGTATAGGCCACAACGCATTCAGTAGGTCACTGCGATCTGAATGGAAGCAGCATGCGTACCGCATCCCACAAAGGATTGATCAGCGGCGAAGATGTTGTCCTTGAACTTTATGGGGGATTGTCCGCCGATGTTCCAAGACGTTTCTGCCCTAATCAACCTGATGGTGGTCTATTAGTCTACTATGGTTATTACCGATATCAAGAATAGAGGCGAGACCCCAGAGAGGAAGTCTCAGAAACGGCTGCCACATGAAGGAAGGCATCAGACGCGATGCTCACCTGATCCAGAAGGGATAGTGAGTAAAACTAAAAAGGCTACTATGAAACGAATTTCTTAGGTCATATCATAAACGTTTGCCGAGGATCAAAAGGAGGGCAGGTTAGTGCCAGCAGCTGTTGTAATGAAGTAAATCGTTATTGGTATGATCAGAAAGCTCGTATTGAATAAGCGTTACATGCAGTGATTCGCCCTTGATGTTGAAGGCACCAATTTAGTATTATGTTCAGGCGTCTTTTTAGTTATGACGGCCTTCCCTGCAAGGATGCACTAATTTTGCAGCTCAAGATTATGTGTGGAAAGCGCTCCCGCTCGCCACGGAACCGCGCCCTTGCCCCTGACTGCGGGACGCCCAGTTTCATCTTCATCTGGCACCTGATGTTGCGATGTTCCGCTACTAACTTTCTCCATTTCGAATCGGTGACGCTGAGGTGTAGCAAGAAAGAGCTAATCCCAACAATGAACAGTTTATCTGACCACACTTTTTTCACCTTACGCGTGCACAAACGCGTTTCGGCACTGGGCTCTATATGAGACGTGTTCTCTGTTCTTTCTTCACTGCTGGATTCCATACTGCCTCGCCATTGATATTTTGACTGCACAACTCCTCGTAATTACACTGGGCGTGCCTTTAATCGCTATTCTGCCTATTTATGGTTTTTTACAGAAATTCTTGGCTTTCACATTTGCTAGCGAGCCTACTTTAAACTAATGACAGGGCTAAGCACTTGTTTGCATGATAGTCATGATTAGTAAAAGATGGTTCACACATTTCTAGATCACTCAAAGACTGCACGGTGCTTCCGCTATGCATTGGAACTGCGAGGTTGCGGACTATAATTTTTGAGGGTGCCATATGAAAACATGAGCATTTTCTGACAACTTATAAGATCATCTCCGAGGTTGCAGAGGCCGAGTCGTTACTGTAATCAGCTAACAGATTGTGAGAAACAACCTGAAATTGTCGCGGTTGGTGAAGCAATGTAGGGTGGTAAGCAGCCTGTAGAATGTTCAAAATTTGAGATTGAAAACATGGATAAATATTTTCGAAGGCCATAAGATCATGCGGGTTTCCCTGCTAATCGCCGTGCATTCATGTCGGTCATTGAATATCTGTGTCGAGCCCGATCCCTGTGAGCGCCCTTGTGAGAGCATTGTGTGCGCGGACCAAAAGACGCAAAGATCAGCGAAAGGTGTCAGCTTTCAAGTACTTGCGATGAACTCCTCCTTTTTCTGATATTATGGTTTTAGCCGCAGTCCACAAAGCTCAAATTCTAGAATGTTGAAATGTTCCCTTCGCGTGCCAAGATGGCTGCTATTGTCGCTGGTCACTGTACTTGTGATTCCATGCCAAGCCAGATCAACAACGTGAGTGCTTATCTGAGACTTTCAAAACGATCGAAGTGTCTCTTGGCGTGCCGCAAGGTGACTCCCTTGTCTTCCTAGCACATTCCTCCTCTCCCGTGATGAGGTAATCTAGTTCTGAGGCCATGCAATACCACTCTTCCGAACTTCCGAACGGATAGATTACGCAGCAGGTATTAGGAGGAGCCGGTTGTGGGGACGATCCCAGACGAGGTCCTTTTTCAGCGAGAAAGAAGAATCTCCACCAGTCTGGCCACGTCCAAGATCAACTCTTGGGGAATGTGCAAAGCACGGAGAAGAAGCCCTGTGTTCCAAAAACGAACGGGATTACTCAAAAACGGTAGCCTTGTTCGCCTGGTCTTGCACTTATCTCTTTACTCTTACTGCTGTGTCATGTCTACTGTTTGGAATGCATGTAACATTTTTCCATGTATATGATCGATCAGCGTCAACAGATCTCCTCGGCAGCTTCGCATGAAACTGCGGAGGCTGTTTGGATCAGATGGGTAGGGAAAGACCTTCGGTATTTGTGGATTGGAGCTGGAATGAGCGATGGCATTCTGTTGCTCGATTATTTGTGCTACCAAGTTCTACTGACTACCTGCAGCAGATCTATCTGGACGTTGAGGAGGGCGAACCAAATTCTGCCGGCTTCTCAGGCGTGAAGTTGTAGCCTGCTGATTCAAGAGGTCAAAGCGTAATTCTACCTCTGACTGAATGAACATATGATGAATTATCGTCGATATTTCCGCGGTATGTGACCAATTTATCGTCGATATTTCCGCGGTATGTGACCGGCTGTCATTCTAGTCCAGGTTCTCAATTTTGAACTTGCACGCTATTTCCAGAGCAGGAGGTGACCTCCGCCCCATTGTTGGACTTCCAATCTGCTCACAGTATTCGCCCGATTATCTGAATACGTTATATTTCAGGCATTCATCGGGCAATATCACATCTATGCGGTGGAGAGGTCATATTGCTAGAGGGTATTCCCGGGTTAGAATGTGGTTAAATGTCGACTCAAATGCTAATGACAACGTGGTGAATAAGATAAAAGTGGATAGAAAAGCAAAAGCGCGCTGAAAATGCCCCATAGAGCTCCTTGTTGGACGTGCATATGTTGAAGAAAGGGCGTGGTTGGACGAGTTGTAATTTGTTGTTGCTTGTGGGCAAGACTGCCTGGCAGGTGTTCTATGAAGATTTCGAGGACTACTTGATCAGCACCCTTCTCGGAGATACTCATGGATAAAGGTGTTACATCAAACAATTCTGTAACATTTCCTCGTGTAACCTGTCCTCATGGAGTTTCCGAAAAGACGTTAGTGTTTGCCACGGTATGATTTGTGGACAGTCGGTTGATCATGACTGATCCCTCTATAAAATCGAGAGTTTCCTACCGTAATTCCTCTGAACAAGGATTACGGGTCTTTACAAATACTCACAACAGGGAGCACATAAGAAGGATCGCTTCCGTTGGAAAGAATAGAGTTGAGTCATAACAACCTCGACACTTTAATGAAACTAGAAGAAATGGTCTGAACCAAACACTTGAGGTGATCAGAGCAATCTACACAGAAGCAAAACCGGTACACATCCTGCGCCCCACTGCAAGTACTCGGACGAATACTAAAACGTGCTGAAACCTGGGACCGTATGCTATACTCCCCCCCCCCCAAGGGCAGATATCCCCTTGTAAATCTCCATTCCCTGCCGTTATCCCTACTGATGCCCCTCGTCTCTCTGGCTCTGCATCCATACACTTTTGGCGCATGCTCTGGGCGAATATAGTGCAGCGCAGAGTATAATCGTTATGCTCCCCTCTCCCCCAGCGACATTCGATGGGGGACGAGGGGCATTGAAAGAGATAACAACAGAGAGCGGAGATTTAGTGGGAGAAATCTTCTCTTCGAGGGGATGTATAGCATATGGCTCCTGTCTACGCCGCCAACAACATTATAATTTTCAGAACGGTGATCACTCTTAATCGGCTTCCTCCCTCGACTGTGATGTCTTCCTATCGTGCTTGAAGAATGCGAGAGATATGTATAGTGTAGTTCACGCGGACGGTTGGGCGTGTCAGGCGGGATGAGTTTGGCGCGGTGCCAAACCCGTTCTCCACCAGTGTTGAAGCGAGCAAATGATATGGCTGTATCATATCGTTCGTATTACTCGTTTTCTACCACTTTTTGTCGCATGCGCGCTTCAACAAGAAGGCAGAGGCGTGGCACACTCATAATGCCTGATCCGCCGAACCGTTCGCAGCGAACTACACCGTAGGTATTCTTGCTTAGAAACTCACTGCTAGAAGCGTTCTGGCTATATCGAAAGCTTGAGCTAATCCATGCTCTGTCGCCGGATTTGTTGGTGCAGTTACTTTACTTCTGAAATGAAAGCATTTCCATTGTTAGTGGTCACAGATGGTGGAGGCGCTGAAATTCGTAAGCATGCAGCGTGTCTGAGTTCCGAAACTGTCAAGAGAACCAAATTAGGCTTGTAAGACGCTGATTATTACCGTATTTCACTTTCGCTGTGAATTCCCATGGGAAGAAGGGTCGCTGAAGGGCAACCAAGTCCCACAACTCCGATTCTTGCTTTTTTCAAGGACTCAGCTAACTTCACCACCACTCTGATTTCCTGTAATGTTTACATTCACTCGGAAAGAGGATTATTTCCGGAGTATTAATTATCTTCTTTACCACATTCTTTGCGGATACCTTCTAGAATTCAACTGATTTATGTGTGCTCCTGCCGACGTCACCGAACTCTCTCTATTGCAGCCACATTACTTCAGAGCATGCCGAAAAGCAGAAGTAAATTGTTGTTCTGCCCCCCTAGAAGCCGAGACAATCGAAAAGGCGAAAAAGTTTTAACCTACAGGGGGAGCAGTCCTAATAGAACCGGCCATGGTTATTAATGTTGTTGGTGGCTTCTCTCATGGACACTTGCCGAAATCGTGCGCGGCAAGATGGCTATGAAACCCAGATGAATTTGGTTCGGTTCCACTGGTTCTCCCTATGTGGTGGCCCTGTGGTTCGAATTCTTCAGTGGCGTGAGACGTTTCTGCAAAGGATGCGTTTGCTTCCTCGAAAATTTCACAAGACAAAGTCAAACTTGTTTCAAACTTCCAAAACGGTGCGAGTGGTGCCCTTTCCGCGGTCATACAACGTACATCAGAACGCCCGCCTATGAACAGTTCTGAACGCCAGTTCAATTTTTTAGAAAATTTCAACTAGTCACAGGATGGGGAAGAGGTCAGGATGGAATTCCGAAGAGTCTCCTAGGCTGCAGCAACATGGTGTTGAACTGAACGAAATGCACAGTGGATCGGCTGTCGTATTGTGTATGTGTACCATAGAATCCTTGAGAAAAGAGCGAGCTACTCGCCGTCATTCCTCGAAAATGCAGTTCATGAGATAGTTTAGTATAAAAATTAAGCCCCAATGCAAGAAGAGTGCTAAGACTACTGGCTGGGCCACACCTCCCATGAACATCCCTTTTTCTTGAAGTTGGGATAAAGTTTCTGAGTTGGCAAGAAAATCATTTGCCCAAGTCAAGTTTTTTAGCTCTGAACATGGACAGGTCATGGCTCCAGCGAGGTAACCTTGTGAAAAGCCTTCATAATCCGTTTTTGGAAGAAAATCACGGGCGAAGGCTAGGAAATGCATCCGATAAGTTTCACAGAGATAAGAGACCACCTTGACGTGAAGTTCTCCAGTAGTAAGTATGCCGAATTTTTGTGGTATTAATCTTCCATATTCTCAAGTCCTAGGCGGAGGTCGTTCTGAATCACCCCACTTCCGATGAGCTTTTCGTTCTTTTGAAGGCATGCTCGTTATGGTACTGCTAGAGAGTCTGTCACAAATTAGTGAAGAAGCATCAAGTGTAACCAACGCACCGCATCCCATTTGCTCTGACTTGCTTTTGTAAAGTCGGCAATTACTACAACTGATAAATCATCTCCAGTGCCAAGACCAGAACTTGTTACGGCAGCCTTAAATAATGCACAGGTTTCATCACAAGCGAGAATTCTTCTCATTTGATGTGAAGGAAACTATTTGATCATTGCTTGGATGACACGGAAAAGCTGAAACTGCATCCTTGCAAAGTACAAAGACAGAATTGAACAACAACGTTCTCAGGAAGTCAATTGCAAGCAAAAACAGTGCTTTCATAGGCAGGACATCGTGATGTGTGAAATGGTAGTGTCACTACGACCCCCCCCCCACACCTAAGAGAGGGTCTCGTTACGACTCTCTCCCCTTCCTCAACAGCTACCTAACAATTTTCTACAGGTTCCCAGATCTCGAGCAGTTTTTTACCCCAAAGATTTTCCATGTCGCCAGGGGGGGGGGGCGAGAAGTGTCTAGCCAATGCGAAACGGGAAAAACCTAGAACAGTCAAAAAGTCATCAACCGGAAAACTTTTTCCCCAGGTGGCAAATTTCCCTCAAAGGCACATGCGACCCTTCCCCTCTCCCAACAACGACCATATACGCCCCCTTCCCCAGCGTGAAAGTACGACCCCCTATCATATTAACACAAGCGATGCGTACCCTGTTTATATGATCATGTCGAAGCGGTATAGACTGTACTTGACAGGATTGGATTGAACAAGACAACCTCTCCTTGTCTGTCTGATAGGAATGAAGGATTTACAACGTTTCGAACGAATTTTAGTTTGGATTTTTCTTTATTCTTTACTCGACTGGAGGAGGCAATCAGTTCAAGGTAGAGTCTGCGATTTCGTGCTCAACAAAGTACAAATACCATTGAGCGAACAGAGTTGTATTGGGATGTGTATGTGAAAAAAGTTGCCCGCAGCTTGACTCGACGAAGACGATGTCCATTAAAATTGTTTGTCCCCTGACGCCCAGTCTCCGTTCAAAAGCATCCTTGAATTCTATGTATCCAGGCCGAAAAATCAACATGATCTACGACCTAATTCTACAGCCAGATAGAAGGAAAGGGACGACATGGTAAGCCATTCAAGGACATCGGAAGAGTGGAGACAAAGAGCATTTGACTCATAGCCCATCTTTTAGATTCTATTGCCATTTTTGTCATAACGTTCTCCTCAGAGACCTGGACTGTGCGTGAACAGGATCGGTCAGCATTACTCGAGTAACTTCGATGGACGAGGCTTGGAGGCTCTATGCAAGTGCACAGGAAAACCTAGAGTGTTTTCGATCGTTTTCTTTTTCATTAGTTACGCGCTACTTCGATAGGGACGTGAGATTTTGTAGGATATGAGAAGCTTTGTCGGAGAGATTTCTCTGCAAAATCCTGATATGCGCCAGTGAAGCTTAAAAAAATATCAAAAGATAACATAAATAAACACACAAATCAACCATACATTGCTAGCTGGTGGAATCGCTTGGCTCGTAGTCGTGCTTCTTGTCGTGC